GTTCCTTGTACCGTTTATTTCATTATTATTCGTATATGTAGTATCTTTTCCACTACAATGTCTTTGACCACAGGAATTGCACTTGTTCCATTATTGAATCTGTTGGTCATTGTGGGCTGGAGAACTGATGTTGTTTGGTGTTTTGGAGCCCTTTTCGAAGAGCCGCTTTCCTCGGGATGATGAATATTTGGATTTGCTGGATTTGAACAACAAGTTGGATCCATCACAAATGATGGCACGGACATCTTGGTACTGTTCACAGACTGCCGTAACTGACTGAAATGTGCAATCGTGCATGAACAACTGCTTTTGCTCTAATTCCGGGCATTAATACCGGCAATTAATCGATAACGTAGCTGGGTTTGCAATTGATCTCCGAAATTGCAACGAGACGCTTCAGCCTGAAGTTGGCACATTCTGACCAGGCAGCACTGATCATTTTTCAACCCGTTTCTAATCAGTACATTGGTCGAGCTTCAAAGCTTGATCAGTGGAACACAAACATTATAGGTGGAAATCTACACCAGGTTTGTCACCCATAATCCTTGATGATCTAGATCCGTCCCTCTATGTCAACCCTCTGATCAATCCTTATCTCCGTGACACATGCCGACTGTCTAGCAGTTTCCACTCTTCAACTTAGCACGTTGCGATCTGAAGCTAACCGTAGTTGACAGCCTGCCGGTAAGTCTTCTTACGAGTCTCAATATGCGCGCGACCTCCTAGTGTCTCGTTGCCCGAGGTAGACAAAAACACTCGTGGGAGTCGTAGACGTTTATTGGCGAATCTTGGTACTAGATAATACCGAAACGTGCCAAGGTGACGCTAAACAATACAAGCAATAAATGCAGTAGCAAAGCAAAAGCGTGTCACACGTGTTGCGTGGGTTTGAACAGGACCCAGCTTATATATACACCTGAGCGGAAAACCGCGCTCGGTAAAACAAACAGAAGTAAAACAAAGAAATATCACAGTTGGAGTCAGAGTTGATTGTGAAGAAAATATGAACGGAAAACGTCCTCGTGGATTGCTCCTTTTCTTCGTACAATCATGGTCACTACAGATCTGTCTTCGGTGGGCCTTTTTCTGTTATATATATTTATATATTTTCGGGCCGTTACGCATTCCGTATATTCTTTCATGACATGATGTGCTCGCCCTCATCCCTTCTCGACTGGGTTCTACCCCAGACTGCTGAGTTTCGCCATTGCGTTTCAGATTCGGTTGGCTTGGGCCTGCCGAAGGCTTGGGGTCTACACCTACAATGGACAGTTTGGCTCCGGCAAGGGTTGTTGGGCGCGGTTGTATCCACCGTTTAGACGACATGCGTCCGCCTTCCGGACCGGGTTGAGGATCACACACCCTGCCTCACTTACAAGGTGTTTTAAGGTTGGGTGTCTAAAGTGTAGTCAGTCCCAAATCAAAGCGACCAACGCCTAAATAATATAAATAATACAAACCAAACAATCCGTTAACGGTGAAGCCCCGAAACCCATTGTTCCGTGTTCACAGAAACATTTCCTACTTTATCGACATTGGAAACTGTTTATTTAGAAGCCATTTGGCGTCCCTTCCTGAATCACTCTGATATTCTCCAGCTCGATTGCGGCACTTCTTCCGAAATTATGGATGTTTCCTCTTCACTATACACCTGCTCTTGGAACTTGTTTCCGCTCATTTTCTCTTGAACGGATATTCCAACTTCCAGTTTTGTCTTGCCAAATGTTTTTCATAAGACAACCGTCACATCAATTTGCTCTGCATAACACATCACCCCCCCCGTCATATAACCTTGTCCGCTTTTTGTTTCGTTTTCACCGTATTGCACATTTACGATATCTTTCGTACCCGTTTGAAAAGTACGTTCTTACACTCTATACTATTCCTTTTTGTTTCCACTGTCACTTTTACACTGTTGTACATTCGATCATGCACACTAGCATGCCTCACGAGCTTCGTTATTATTATTATTTTTAAGTCACGTACAGGTTTGTTTCCACCACGTGTGAGTGAACGAAACTTGGCTGTAGATGCTTCAGCAGCAAGGTTTTCAGGGATTCATGCGACAACGATATAGGAGGGTCAGGAAATGCCAAATTCTTCAACAATGAGTACGTATTATTTCCGATGACCGTTAGGAAATAAACCGTTTTGCGTTCTCCATCGAGTCCTTTCCGCGTAATACACCAAATCTCGAATCGTTCAAGATAGTCTTCGACTTCGCGCGCACTAGCATGTATATTCAACTTCTCCAAATTACAGGACTCCATTGGTTCAAAATGACCGCTACACTAGTTGTTACGGTTCGCACTCGGACTAGTAATTCGTATACATCTCAGATTCCGCGCAGTGATAGTCCAACCCAGAACTAGGACTCGAAATGAAATCAGAAGACAGAACTCAGCGACGAAATCGAACTGTAATCATCGGAAATTCGGAATGTACAAAGATATCGTGTTCAATAAAACAAAAGAGGTCATAGTTCATGAGCAATCACCACGGTGGTCCATTATTCCTGTTTTTGTACCACAATTTTACGACGGCAGTAGACATTTATAAAGTGAGTTTAGGTTACTTTCACTATCCACCGGTCATAATACACTCTAGATTTGAATACAAGGGAAGCGACTAACTGCTTTAGTCGAGACCGGACGATATAATATATGCAATCCTGGATGCACTGTCGCTCACT